ATGACCACTAAAGACACACGTGACCAAATTTATGACATAAAGGTACTCTAAAGACAACTAAACCTTTAGTTCCAATTTACACTTTAGACCATCTTTGTTCCTCGTAATACCTCTGGTATTCCACAGTTTACCCACCGTGTACCAACGTAATTCCCCTAGGTACTCCGTATTATCCACAGGGTATTCCTCCGTTAGTCCACCGTTGTACCACTTATTTAACTAGTACCAATGGGAATACAATATTACAAGGAATAAACTTAAGTACAACCTAATATCAACCTTATGTCACACCTGTTAACACCGTTTTACCTCGTAAGAAATCCTTATACAAACTTGTACACAAATATACATCCGTTATAACACCTTTGTGTCATACTGTTGGACATTAAGTGTAGAAGGTAGTTTAAATTAAATATGTTAATTTGTAATCTGTAGTAATAGATGTAATATTTGTACTCGGATAATAAGTTGAATAAAAAAAATTTATAAAAAATGGTAAAAAAAAAAAAAAAAAAAAAAAAAAACAAAAAAAAAAATAAAGTGGGTACTATTTTACCATGTTGTACAAAGTGAATAATTTTCATAAGTATGAACAAAGTAGTAATAATTTTTAATCAGATTCAAAATTGTCATACTTGGTAATAGGGTTTTAATTTTTCATATGAAGTCACTTATACATAGTTTAATAGTTATAACGTTTTCCTCGATTTAATCCTATGTACACTCCGGTTTCCAACTTTAGGTCCCACGATTACCTACCGTTCGTACCTACTAGACCTCCTAATGAACAAAGTATTTAACTCATTTTGTACCTCCGTAGTACCACTGTAAGACCAATGTAAGTCCTTATTGTACTCGTTAGAAATTACTGTACAACCCCCACCCTTTGGATAGGTTTACAGATCTGGATTGTAGTTGGTTATAGCATTGTTGGTTTAACAGCATTATTACATTATGCTTTTCAATTATGTTGCTACTCCCTGTTAATACAGATCAACCGACTTGTACCTAGCACCCAGATGACTTTGTTCACTCCTTGTCATCACCCGATTTTTATTATTTTTACTGCTATCACTCCCCATATTTTTTATATATCGCTTGGCCTTTGTTCCGCACAACCCCTCTGATATATTACATGCACAACGTATATATAAATATGATGCATCAATATGTACTTCTTTGCTATAGCCTATGGGGAACTGCTGGTATGACTGGTGGGTGTATTTTTAGCAGTTTAGGCTTTGATTTTCACGTGTTAGGGATGGGAGATTTGAGAGTTTGTCATTATTGCTCACCAATTTAGGGCTAACTATGCACATTTAGATGGTGTAGTTTCAAGTTTGTTCACATTAATATTACTTACACTATGACTTTGTGCAAAGGTATGGAGAGGTATGAGTTGTTAGACACACAAGATGTGTTGCTTATGTGATAATATTATGGAATGAATTATGTAGAAACACACAAGATCAGTTTTAATCGATAGATGTTTTGGTTTTGTTGATGATTTATAAGATTTTATACGTTAGGGAGGATTATTTATCAGATTTCTCCAGCAATTATGAAGTTTCTTATAGGGTGATAATTGTTAAGATTGGGTGTATGGTGTGGGTTGTAGAGATGTGACATTTTGATGATAGGATATTTTTAACGTGGATAAGGACATATTAAAGGGAGGGGTCATTTTTGGTCATAGATCGCTCATGGTTTAATAGAGTGTAAGTGTTTCAAGTTTTAATAACCTTGTAGATATTTTGAAAGGTATGTTGTTTGGGTATTTTTTCGGCAATAAGTGTGCTGCCGTTATCGGGTTGATGGGCATGGTTGTAGGATGTGTGTAGTTATTGGTATTATAAATATTTTTTTTAGTTGGATAGTATAATTTTAGATTTGGTATGGGTTTGAGGTTTTCATGTTTTTGGTTTGATTGATTTGGATGAGTTGGAATTAGTAGCTTATGTTTAAACATAGACACGTAGCTTACCAACGGTTGTATGGGTATTGTTTTAGAAGCATATAATATGGATGGTTTTTTTTGAATACTGGACTGGTGTGTTAGGTGGTGGTGGGTGGTAGGGGTTGTGTTGATTTGTCATATTCCACACTTTTATTATGAATATTATTTATGATATTGTATGAGTTTTGATTAGGGATATCTCGGTACTTGATTTTCTGATTGTGTGGGTTTGTTAGTTAGGGCATTGCGGTGGTTGTTTGTGATGAAGGATTGACAGTATTTTATATATCAAGTTGTTTTATAGGTTGGTGTTGTGTAAATAGGCTATTTGGGATTATTAAGGCGGTTTATGGTTATATTTGTTTTTATGTCTAAATTTGGAAAGTAATTACTCAGTTACATCGTATGAGTATTTTGGGTGGAATTATATATTATTTTAATTTCTTAAAATTTTATATCTGGGAAATCTAAGCAGACATTGATAATATTGATTGTACACGAATGCATTGGATTAATGTAAGTGGGTGGTGTATAATAACATATAGAACCCATTCCAAAAAAGTAACATGTAATCCCTATATGATTAGAGTCGGAATTGCCGCATACTTTAAGAGGATGTCAATAGCACCTAATTCCCGTGTTTAACTGTTCGTTTTTAGGGGGGACTTGTATCTAGATGTATTTATATTACAGGGGAAGTTTTGTTGAAAGGGAAATTGTTTAAAGTGATAATTATGTTATTATTTATATTTTTTTTTTTGAATTTTAAATTGGTTTGTGGTTAGGTGAAGTGTAATGGAGAAATGATTATTTGATGAATTTTTATAATTTTTATATATGATTGTGAATATTTGAAATATTTACTGAAATGTAGTATTAAAGAAGAATGGATAAAATAAATAAAGAAACATTAGGATCTATTTTTGAAGGGAAATATGAATATAGGAAGGTATATTGAAACAAATTCCTAGTAGTTAAAGGATAGGTAGAAAGTTTAATTTATTTTTAATGGGTGTTAGAATTATTATAATGGAGGAAAGAAAAACTTGGATGAGTTTGTTAGATAGAGGTTGTTAATTATTTTTAGTTAGATGGGTGTTTATGGGTGAGGGAATTTGTTTTTTATGGTTGGATTTTTTTATGTAATATGGATTTTTATAGGGGTGTGTTTCTTGATGAATTTTATATTGGGTTTGAGTGTAGGGTTAAGATTAGATTTAGGGGGATTGTTGGTTTGGATTTGGGGTTTGGGACATTGTGTTTTTTCACAAAAGCAGACTATGGGGGTTATTTTAAGAGGCCGTTTGTTATATATAAATAATATGTAGTTTGAACAATTTACAGTGGATGTACAGAACACTTATATATTTTACATCCATGAATTCTTAAGGGGAATGCACTTTTTGGGTTTTATATTGGCAATTAAGATTGTTTATTTGTTTGTTTGTATGATATATTATTTGTTTGGTTTATCTAATCTTTTGAATATTACGATATCTTACTGGTTTGGTCTGTGAAATAGGAGTTTTGCTTTTTGATTTTTGGTAGGTGTTTGAACATGTATATATAGATTGTTATTGGTTCAGGGTATAGAGACGTAAGATTGGAGAAAAATAAAATGTGTAGTTTTTTATATGCATTTATTGAGATTTATATTTTTTCATTTTTTATGAGTTTTGGATAGGGTTTTTTAGTATAACGTAGGATATTTTATATTTTTATATGTTAGATGGGTTGATTTTTTATATTGGATGGTTTTGTTGATTAGATGAGGTTGTTATTTATATAGATGGGAATAATATGTATTTTGGTGTATATAAAGTATGTGATTTTTTAGGTTTGAGGTCTTTAATGCTTTCTATTACGGTTAGAGTATATTGTGATTGGTTTTTTAGATTTTGTTATTTTTTGGAAATATAGAATTGAAAAATATATAAGTAGATAGATAATATGTTGGAATGTTGAATATAAGAAAATGGTAGGTGAAATTTATGAGACATATAAAATTATAATTAATGGAATATTTTTTATGGAGGTTGATAAGTTTCTTTTTTTTATATATTTTCTGTTCGAAGGGATTTATGATTGAATATAGAAATTTATATATACTTAGGTATTTTGTTAGAGAGTTTTAGGGTGGTAGTGATAGGGTTTGATTGTGTTCGGAATGGAGTATGATGAATATAGGTATTGATTTGATGGTGGGGGGGGTGGGGGGAGTGTCTTTTTTTTGCTAGGGTCCCTAGGTTTGACTTTGTGACATATTATATAGTTGTGATTATGTAGTGGGACATACTTTACTCCAGTCTTGGGTAAGACTACAGCGTATTATTTAACTGAGTTTATGTTGTCGATATCAGTTTGAAATAATGGACAGCTAGTATCTGGAAAAATGAACATTGTTTTTTTGTGTGTTCAGGGTGGTGTGGAAGGTTGATGGTTGTATTTATTTTTTTTAGTATGATGGTAGTGATGAGGTTCTATCTGAATTGAAGTGGATTGTGATGAGATTAGTGTATAGGGGATGTAATGAAAAATTATTTATGTATGAGGTATTTGGTTGAATATATGGAATATGGTGATATGTTGTTTATGTTATTTTTGTTATTGAAGTATGTTTATGAAGTATATTTTATGGTTGGGGTTTATTGAGGATTTATGTTTGTATATATTTAAATTTGGTGAGTTTTGTGTATTGGGTATAGGGAGATCGGGGAAAATTAATATGTATTGTGGTTTTTTATTGGAAAAGAAATTAAAGGTTAGGGTTGGTAGGTGATGATGGTAAGGGTGTATATAGATATATTTATAATTTTGTATAGGTTAATGTTGAGGGTGAATGGTTGATTTATTCTGTGTTTAAAATTTTTCGGATCATTGGGGAATGGGGGTTAGCTTTTGATTGTTATTGAGGAGAATAGGGAGTTATGGGATGGAATTAATTAATAGGTTTTTATAATGAGGGTAATATTTCGTTTTTAAGGTGTATCATTATTCTATGTATTTTTGTATTGATGATGTGTGTTAGTGTTGTGGGGTGTAAATGTGGGATAGGGGGGTGTTGGGGGTGGAGGGTGAGGGGGGGGAGTGGATGGGGATTCTGTGTGGATTGGGTGTTGGGGGGATGGGGAGTTTGGTAGGGGGGAGTTGAGTTGGTGGTAGTTTTTTATTAGTGGATTATGTGGGGGGTGTGGGGTGGTTTGGGTGTTTGTGTGGATGGGTGGTGTGTGGGGGGGGGGGGGGGGGGGTTTTCGGGAAGGGTGTGGATTAGCTGTTGAACGGTGGGAGGAGTAGGGGTGTGGTTAAGGGGGGGATGGGATGTGTTTTAGGATATGGGTTTGGGTTGATGTGGGTTTGAGATGTTTTGTTGTATGTGAGTGGTGGAGGTTTCTTGGTAGTTGGGGTTTTGTGAGAATATGATTGGGGGTGGGGGTGTGTGGGGTGGGGGTGTGGTGTTGGGGTGATGGTTTGTGATGTAGTTTTTGGGAGTGGTTGTGAGGGGGGGGTTTGTGTGTGTGGTTTGGGGTGTGGTGTTGGGTGTGTTGTGGGGGGGTGGGGTAGGGGGTGGGGGGGGATTGTAGTTGTGGGTTTGGTGGTGTGGTTTGGGGGGGTGGGGGGGTGGGGGGTGGGGTGTGGTGGGGGTGTTGTTGTGTGGGGTTGTGGGGTGTGGGGGTGGTTTGTGGGGGGGGGGCGGGTGGGTTGTGTGGGGTGGGGGTGGGTGGGGGTGGGGGGGGGGGGTGGTTGGGGGTGGGGGGGGGGTGGGGGGGTGGGGGTGTGGGGGGGTGGGGGGGGGGGTGGTGGGGGGGTGGGGGTGGTGGGGGGGGGTTGTGTGGGGGGTTGGGTGGGGGGTGGGGGTTGGGGGGGGGGGGGGGGGGTGGTGGGTTGGGGGGGGGGGGGGGGGGGTGGGGGTTTGGGGTGTGTGGGTGGTTTTGGTGTTGGTGTTGGTGTTGGGGGGTGGTTTTTGTTTGATGGGGTGGGTGGTTGGTGGGTTTGGGTAGGGGTGGGGGGTGGTGGGGTTGTTGTGAGTTTTAAAGTTGAGGGAGGTTATGAGTGGAGTTGTAATTAAATTGTGGAGGTGGTAGTGATTTTTTTAATTTTATGTGATGATTGTATTGAGTTTTTAGTAATTGGTTAGTGTGTGTATGTTTTGAGATTTATAATATAAAAGATTAAGTTTTTTTATTGTATTGGGAATATGTGATCACAAGGGTGGGTGGGTGGGGGATGGAATGGGGATTGGGTTTGTGGGGGGGGTTGGGGTGGGGTATTTTGTTTGTATTTTTAATTTGGTAAATATTTATAAGTGGGAGTTATTTGTTAATAGGGGAGAAAGTAGTTAAGGAGTAAGTTTTTTTTAATAAGGTTTTGTATGGATGGGTAAGGATGGATTGTTTGGGATAGATTCATGCCAATTGTAGTTTTGTATTATTGGGGATGTGGATGGGTTTTTTTAGTTGTCAGTTTTGTTCGATGCGATTGTTGGGCTTGAGGGAAAGTTGTAATAACTTGTTTCATTTTTACTTGTATTGTTTGTCAGTTTGTACTGAAGATTGGGGTTAAATTTTTTCATGGGTGAGTTTTGTTATCCGTTGGCATTTATGTAATTGGTATGGACTAGACTTGTTCAATGTTAAAATACTTGCTTCGATTGGGGGGTCACAAGGAAGAGGGTTCGAGGATGATGCAGCATTTGATTCCCTGTGTTTGAATAGGTAGATTTTGACTTATACATGTTGAGGCAGAGGAATTGATATAACAGGTGTTGGGTTACTCATGATTAGGTTAAATTGGTGATTAAGGTTGCACACTAGTTATTTTTGGATGTGGATAACTTTATGGATGGGTGTAAGACATTTGGTGCATATTATATGGGATGTTAGTGTATATTTTCCAATGCCAAGAATAAATATACTAATATAACTGGTAGGTGTGCGCGTAGAGATGTGTATAGTGTTACATAGTTCATGAAGTGGTAAACTCTTTCTTATTCGAAAATTATGATTTTATGTGTGTTTGCATGCTGGTGGAATTTTATTAATGTTGTTTACAATTATGGGTGGTGTATGGTGAGTCATAGTATCAATTTGTGTCCATCACAAAATTCTCTATAATTCTGGTGATAATCTCTCTATAAACCAAATTTTGTTCAAATAGTGATCGGGCGGGACATTATAGGGGTTATTCCTCCTAAATACGTTAATTGTTGTTACTTTAAGTAATTGAAACGTGTTTTCCAAATTGTTTAGATTAATAAATGTTATTTGGTATAGAAGGGTACTGATTTATGGGATTTGGTATTGAAGTATTTTTACTTCAACCAATGGATTGTTTTATTGTAAAATTTATATTTAAAAACGCCTGCTCTTTGGGAGTAGTAGTGTTGCGAAATTATTGGAATATTTTATGTTTAGTATGGGTATTTCAATGAGTTTTTAAAATGATGTGTCTTGTTAAAGTATTTGATGAATTGTAGTTAAAAGGTAGTATACTTGTGTTGTAGGTTGGAATATGTTTAGGAAGATTATAAGGGGATAGGTTCAAGTCGAACGTGAAGGTTTTCTACGATCAGGTCACGGCGGGGGCATAGTATGGGATTAAACGAAACACTCGATAGCACTTATTTTTCAAATCGAATGCATCTCGTTTTGATGAATAACATATAAACAGCGCTATTTCTCCAGTCTAACAGTGAGTGTCTTTTTGAGCATATCTGTTTGTTTAGTTTCATGTTTATTGGATCTAAACAGTTTTGACATTTTGGATAGATTTAAATAAAAGATTACTTGTAACCCAAAACAATAAAATTAGGGATACAATAGATTGGGGGGATTGGTCTATTTAGGTTGGCGTATTCCAGCAATTCAACCTTACTATTAGGTGGACACTGGACTCACAGGGCTCTAGTTTCCCATCAATGCGTCGGGTACACTTCAACTTAAAACTTGATCAATATTTTTAATGCAATGAGTGAGGTAGATGAATCGTTGTGATTGGAGGCGTTGATAGCGCCAGTGGTGATTTTGGGCGTCGCGATTCCGTCATACATATGTGTGATGGAAAAAAAGTGATACGGAACTCTGTACAATGTGCCGTTAGGTGACCTTGGTCATGAAAATGCCTTGTAATGAATAAACGAAGACTTACTTACAATGAATATAAATGAAGGAATGAATGACACCTTTGTTAAGTCCCACAGTGGGAAATTACTCAATAAAGAGAAAATATACTGTGTTTTTTTCAGACAGGCACATGAAGGAAGACTCTTTAATTCACACCTAAGAATTGCAAATTTAAGTTATTAACAAACAACATAAATTGATAGCACCTTTGAATAGAAAGTGCTTAGAAAACCCCTTTGCCAATCCATCAGCTGTATCTGTCTATGTTTGTTGAGTACTGTACAGAAATGTGGGTATTTTGGACACACACTATTTCTATTTACAAAATAAAATAAATATCCATCAAGTAAACATAAATGGAATGCTGTCCATATATATATAAAGAAATGCTTTGTCCTGGACAGAATATTAATTTACAAAATGTAAACACAGTGAGCGTCCTGCAGAAGGGGAAGTTGACCTTTTACTATTTTGATGTATTTCTGCAAATACTACACTGCACTTTTACCTGAATTAAACTTTCCTTTCAATGAGTATCAGCATTAAAACTTTTACATTACCACAGCCTTAATCTTTATCATTTAAATATTCTTCATTTCTTGCTTGGATTCTCTATCAAATCTATAAACAAATCAAGTAATACATGCAAAGCAAAAAGTATAGGCCATGATAACAGCCATGCATTGAAAGCATAATATTACCAAAAATACAATAACACTGTCTCACATCTGATACTGTCTGTAAAGTGTTTTCACCAACGGAAAATCCCAAGGAAATTAGATTGCTTGTCTTTTCACTGCTGAAAGCTGATTGAAAAAAATGTTAAAATAAAATTGCTTTGGAAAGGCATAGCAATAGGTTTCCCATTGAAGCTTGAAAAGATCTATGGAAATGACTAGCTACAAACACTATAAGCAAACACAAGAGGAAATTGTCCTGAAAAATCTCATGTTTAGGAAATAAGGGGGGATTATTTCTGCCATGTTGCTCGACAGAACGATCGCTTGTATAGACTGTGTTATAATAATAAATCTCAACACCACACTCGAAGTGAAGAGGTATTCTTGATCGGCAGTGCAGGGACAAGTAAGAGCGATGAAAGACATGATGCCGCTGCATTTTGAAATATATATGCCACGGCCGGCAGATCAAAGACAGAAAGAGAATGCCTACATGGCTCATTGGACATGTAGTTGTATGTGTGTTTGGGATTATACATGATAATAATAATGCAGTATGGGGATGTGGTTGCAATTAATGGAGAATGTATTGAATTTATAATAATTTATCAAAACCCGAAAACAGGATTATCCATTGAATTCTAATGACGTTTTTTTCCCTCTCAAAAACGGCTTTACAAGATGGTCCAAAAGTCGGCTCTTAGCTCAACGCTATGTTCCAGATGCTGAGGACTAATTTTTTTTGTTTAGCCGCTGTGAACTCGTTTGTTGAATGAATGGGGCTTGTGCCGGCTAATTCATGCGCACATGCGTTTTTTCACATTTTTCTGCGGGAGGGGCCACTTGCGGTAATTTTTAAAAAGACGGCAGGAGGTAAAAGTGATGACACATAAGTATCGACGGGGAGAGGCGTCACTACGTCGGTTGATAGTTACAGTCTATGGGATGGAGCCACTCATTGGAATTGATTATGGATTATTGGATGTTCAAACCTAATTGCATTTAAAAACATAAATAAAAGATGAGGGTAACACTTTACATTACGGGCCGGTAAGTCCATGGTACTTACAGTGGTACTTCTAGGTACTTACAGTGGTACTTACAGTGGTACTTACGGTGGTACTTACGGTGGTACTTACGGTGGTACTTACGGTGGTACTTACGGTGGTACTTACGGTGGTACTTACAGGGGTACTTACGGTGGTACTTACGGTGGTACTTACGGTGGTACTTACAGTGGTACTTACAGTGGTACTTACAGTGGTACTTACAGTGGTACTTCTAGGTACTTACAGTGGTACTTCTAGTGGTACTTACGGTGGTACTTACGGTGGTACTTACGGTGGTACTTACGGTGGTACTTACGGTGGTACTTACGGTGGTACTTACGGTGGTACTTACGGTGGTACTTACAGGGGTACTTACGGTGGTACTTACGGTGGTACTTACGGTGGTACTTACAGTGGTACTTACAGTGGTACTTACAGTGGTACTTACAGTGGTACTTCCCGGTACTTACAGTGGTACTTCTAGGTACTTACAGTGGTACTTACGGTGGTACTTACGGTGGTACTTACGGTGGTACTTACGGTGGTACTTACGGTGGTACTTACGGTGGTACTTACAGGGGTACTTACGGTGGTACTTACGGTGGTACTTACGGTGGTACTTACAGTGGTACTTACAGTGGTACTTCTAGGTACTTACAGTGGTACTTCTAGGTACTTACAGTGGTACTTACGGTGGTACTTACGGTGGTACTTACGGTGGTACTTACGGTGGTACTTACAGGGGTACTTACGGTGGTACTTACGGTGGTACTTACGGTGGTACTTACAGTGGTACTTACAGTGGTACTTACAGTGGTACTTACAGTGGTACTTCTAGGTACTTCTAGGTACTTACAGTGGTACTTCTAGTGGTACTTCTAGGTACTTATTGTGGTACTTACAGTGGTACTTCTAGGTACTTACAGTGGTACTTAGAGGTACTTATTGTGGTACTTACAGTGGTACTTCTAGGTACTTATTGTGATAATTCTAGATACAGCTGTAACTTAGTAATTCAAGGACACTACAGTATTATTCCTATGTAGTAAATGTGGTACTTCTACATACATACATACAGAGGTCATTTGTAGGATTGTTTGACTATAAAACATAAAACAACATTATGTAAAACAAACGTCTTTATTAATATGGAATAAGTAGCACAGAAAGGACAGTATAAATACATTTAATGCATATTTCAAAACAAGTTTCAAGGAC